GAGACCACCTTAGCACGACCATTCACGAGACTCGTTTTATGAATCAGAGTTATTGACCTTCCAAGTAGTCAGCCAGCCACTGGATACCAAGCATTTTGCGTGGTATCAACGCCTCCTATAAAGGGACATAGCCTGAATCCTCCGCTTCAAAAGCCATATCCGGCCACCAAAACTAGGAGAGATGAAGGAAGTGAAGCGATTGGGAAGGTAGCGCCAAAATCGCCCCCCCGCGGTCACTCTGAAAACCACCCTATTTTTTGGTATGTCCAAAGCCAGTTGCTTTCTCGTCTCTGCGGCAGAAAAAAAAAACGGTATTTTGCGTATTTCTTTTTGGCTACATTTTTGGCGCTGGCTTCTTCGTTTCCTTCTCCTCCCACCTCTTTTACCGCGGCCCGGCGGGTTATCGTTTTAGCGCGGAGGACACGAGCGTTCCCCCCTCGAGTACACTATATGTGGGCAGACATCGACGTCAATTAAATAATCTCAACCGAACTTTTCTTGTCTCAGCTATTTGCACACTTGCTCACCGTTCTACGGAAACTCACGAGAACCTCCGTGTAGGTCGACTACACCATCAGCCTGACCCGGGCAGAACTTCTGAAATCAATTCAACGCTTCGCCGCTGGGCTTCAGGCCCTCGGCATCACTATCGGGGACCGGGTTTGCGTTCACGTCAAGAACAGCATTGAGAATTTCATCGCCGTACAAGGCATAATTTTTACTGGAGCGGCAGTCATCCTAGCCAAGACATCCCTGACAGAACGTAAGCGTTTCTTTCTCATTTGGTATTTGAGCCAACACGTGCTCATTAGGGTCCTACTATTCATTCCTATGTGAGCTGCAACGAGGCCCGGCACGGTGCTCTAAGAGTAAAGGGCTGCCTAAACATCATGGGAAATAAGTGCCGAGGGAACACGTACCAAGAGTAGAATAACAACAACACAGGGCGCCCTGTGTTTCTGTTATTCTACGTGTTGGTCCCTGTTCCTTCGGCGCTTATTTCCCATAATATACCAACTGGCCCATTTAAGCATTTTATTGTCTAAAGAGAACACGACTCCCTCCGACTTTTAGCGTAATGGTAAAACGAATCCGGTGGGATCTTGGAATGAGCCTCTCTAAAGAGCAAAATCGTGTCCGCTGTATGCAGGAGAGTCGTGTACTGCGAGGACCAGGGGCGTATACCAACAAGTGATGACGCCGATTGCAAGGAGCTTTTTTACGACCCTGATATGATAATTGTATGTAACATTCGGCGTTTCCGCAAAAGTATACTGTCTGTGTCTCAGCAGATTCATTCCACTGCATGCAATGTACTGAACTCACGCGTAAGAGAGATACCAAACAAAATAGACTCCTGTCAAACCACCTCGTAATTTTTTCCTGGCGCCAGTATTTTGTGGCGGTAGAAGAAAGCACTTTTAGAAACTGACATAGTTCCAAATAAGTTTGAAGAAGACAGAATGGAAAAACAAAGTAGGTATGGCAACAGAGAAGACGCTTAGATAAAATTTTTGATATTTATGAGGCCCTGTTGAATACTTAATGGCAAATACCAACTGCAGAAGAGTGGAGTTTCTTTTCGAGAAGAATAGGAGGTCGGATGGGGGTCAGCCCCCTTGAGCGAACATGCCTGTTGGTACAACGGTGCTTCGAGTGAATGGTTTTTCGTTGAAGCCGGTGATCCAGTCTTTGGGTAAACAAACTCCACCTCACCATCAAAGTTGCCAGACCTGAAGAGTGCTTTAACAGCGTAACATTTCGATTTGAAACCCGAGACATCTAGACGCTAGGAATCAACCCAAAGATGAATCTGCTAAGATCGAAGCAGGGGACTTGACGGAATATGAACACAAAGATTATTACCGAAATAGAAATTGCGCTCCAGTCTACCACACAAGATGTTAACTCCCTGGAGTACTTTCGTGAGAGATTTATCGCCAACATTCAAAAACTTCGCAATGTCAACGAGGGAATCGAGCCGCACATTATCGATCCTGACCTGGAAGCTGCCTACATTGCTCTCCTACAATGCGAAGATAGAGTGGCTAAAACCTTACTCTAAAAAAAAAAGGTGTATTCTTACACCCCCTGTCCCAAATAATGCACCCAAAACTTCAATTTGACGTACAGCGCCCTATAGTCGAACAGGCGGCCCCAAATGTTTCGAGGGTCTTGATAGCCGTGTGGTACAACTTATTAAAATAGCTAATCTATGTGTTACTGATTAGAAAACAAATATAATCGTTTTTCCGGCCCTACTGCAAAAGCTCGGTGTTTTTTTTATGTGGTCTTCGATACGTACTTTAGATATTTAACAAGTTGTATCGCACCGTTATGAAGCCCCTCGTAAAATTTGGGGCGTCTGTTCAACTATAGTGCGCTCTACGTCGAACTAAAGTTTTGGGGTGTATTATATGTGTAATAGAAAAACTGGATGGTTTATTTGAGAACAATTAAAACGTACATTGGGTACAAACTCGAAAACTTGGGTGCGAGCCGGATGCCCATCCGACCGCCTCGATGGTCTCGATCGTCTCGATAAACACAATATGGCGGATACTCAAAAAAAGGCGCGATGTCCATCACGCTAATGCTGGCGCTAACACTCGGCCATCCTGCTCCTTTAACTGTCCTCACTTAAGGTAGTCCTTTGACCACACAGGTTTATGATTTGCGCGTTTTGACTGACGCAGGGTACACCGGGGACTACCTGGTTGGTCCATGTCACTTGCTTCTTTACAGCTGGAGTATGAAGGGTTGACCGTTTGTCCACCACTGTCCATGCTCGTGTGACCGTCTGGGCACTAGATTGAAGCTTTCTCTTCTGAGGCCTCTTTAAACAGCTTCAGTTGACTTGCATGGGCTGTTGTCGTGTACTGGCTGTTTCTTGGATGTTCGGAAGGCATGTTGCTTACGCGGTAGGTATCCGATGGAAGTACCTCTACAACCGTGTAGGGTCCTCGGTACTTAGGCTTCAACTTGGTGGACTCTCCAGTAGAAACAGGTGCTCGCTTCACCACCACCACGTCACCTACTGCATAGTGGAGCGCATCACAGTGTCTCTGGTCATACCGTCGTTTAGCACCAGCTTGAGAATCCAGAATCGCCAGCCTGGCTTCCTCCCGCAAATCGTGGACACTCCGTTGGTGCTCTGTGCCAGGTGGGACCAGTTCTTGGAGGTTGCTTCCTAACGCTGGCACAAATCCATACAAAAGTTCAAATGGGGAACGGCCTGTGGTTTTGCTGACAGTGCTGTTGATGTCTGCTTGTACCTTCTGCAGGTGATGGTCCCAGTCACGTTGAGTTTGGTATTGTGTTGATGCCTGCTGGGATCAGTATTCGGTTGATCCGTTCGACTTGGCCGTTTGCCTGAGGTCGCTGTGTCGAATTCAATGTGTGCTTGATCCCTCTTATCAGACAGTAGTCCTCTAAGCCTCTTGAGGTAAAGCAACTTCCTCGGTCAGTTATGACCCGCGAGGGGCACCGTAGTCGCAGATGAACTCGTCCAGGAACCTGAGCACATACTTTGTTTCTGTGCTGGGGTATGCACGTAGCCGAACAAACTTAGTGGGGTTCTCGACAAGCACCAGCAGGACGTTATTGCGCTGTGTACTCTTTACAAAAGGACCCAAGTGATCCATGTAGACGATTTCGAACGGTCGCAGGCCTGGTCCGATAGGGTTAAGCTTTCCCTGTACCTTAACACCTGGTTGCTTGAGGAACAAGCATTCGATGCACTGTCGTACATGTTGCTTCACATACGCCACCATTCCGGGAAACCAGAACTTCTCGCGGATTTTAGCCACAGTCTTGTCAACAGCGAAGTGACCACTAAAGTCGTAAAACTTCACCGTGATGAACTTCTGCATACTTCGTGGGACCACGAAAAGCTTCCGTGAGCTTGTTCCGCTTTGGAGCTGGTAGTCCAAGATCCCCTGGCGCACTTCCAAATTGTGCACTTGGGATTTTTCCGAAGAGGTACGTTCACTTGTAGGTTTGTGCAGTATCTCAAGTAGAGCTCTCAACTCTGGGTCTTGTGCCTGGATCATAGCTACTTTGTCTTCAACCGGTACTGTGTAGTAGACAGGTGCGATGCACAGTTCTGGGTTTTTGTCCTGATCACCATCTGCTGTTAGCTCGCGCTCATCACTTGTGGCACGGCTGAGTGCATCCACATGTTCCATTTGAGCTCCTGGTCTGTGCCGTATGACATAGTCATAGTCACACAGTTCTTCGAACCAGCGGGCAATCTAAGGTTTCATGGATTTCCATGTGTTTAGGTACAGCGTAGCACTTCAGTCTGTGACGATAGTGAACTTCACTCCCAGCAGGTGACAGCGCAGTCGTCCCACTGACCACACAACTGCCAAAAGTTCCAGTCGGCTGGAGTGATACTTCTGTTCAGTCTCACTTGTACGCCGACTAACGCAGTACACTAGGTTCCAAGAAGCTGTATCCCCTTTTTGCAGGAGCATGACTGCAAGTCCCTTGCTGCTCGCATCAGTGTGAAGCTCGGTCTCCTTACGGTGGTCAAATAGTGCCAACACGGGAGCTGACACCAACTTCTCCTTGAGCTTGGTGAAGGCTTCATCTGCCTCTGGGCACCACTCGAAAACTGCTCCAGCTTTTAGCAGCCCATGGAGGGGTGCGGCGATGTTTGCATGTTGCGGTACAAACTTTCGAAAGAAGCTCACGAGCTCCAAGAAACGTCGAAGTTCGGTCGCACTGGTAGGTCTGGGCATATCCATGATCGCCGAGAGTTTTCTGCTTCCTGGTCGGATCCCCTGAGGTGTCAACACCACTCCCAAGTACTCGACTTCTGTCTTCCCAAACTCACACTTCGACAGTCTCAGAGTCAGACCGGCCTTGGAAATTGTGTCCAACACCTGCTGTAGCTTCACCAGCATCTCTGGCCAGCCCTTGGCTGGTACCAAGATGCTATCTAGGTAGCAGGTTGCAACATTCAAGCCCAGTGGTCCTAGCACCCTTGAGATCATTCACTGAGAGACAGGAGGTCCGTTAGCTAGCCCAAAGAATAGACGCAGGGGCTCGAAACGTTCATCTGGAGTTGTGAAAGTAGCCTTGTGGATGGACGATTCATCCATGGGGATTTGCAAGTAACCATGGGCCATGTCCAGAACACTAAAGAGAGTGTTTCCAGCGAGTTGGTCCAATACTTCATCAACCCGTGGCAGTGGAAAGCTGTCCTTGACTGTTTGGGCATTCAGGCGACGGTAGTCGACTACCATGCGATATTCACCAGTCTTTTTCCTCACCAAGAGAACAGGGCTACTGTACTCCGAGTTGCTGTCGCGGATGAGGCCATTAGCCTTGAGGTCGTCTGTAATCTTGCGCAGAACCTCGCGTTCACTCCAGGATGCACGATACGGCGACCTTTTAACAGGCGCACTTCCTGACTTTTCTTCGATTTTCATCGTAACCACATCCGTACGTCCCAGTTGAGTCATGTTCTGCGCGAAACATGTTCGGTGCTCGTTGATGACTTGGCACAGTTCACGTCTCTCGTCTTCGGTTATGGCGGGACTAACATTGACCTCTTCTGCTGTTATCGGTGCGAGTCTCTTCTCCCGTTTTCCAGGCTCGCTTTCGATGACCTGCTGCAGCACGCTGTATACATCAGGTACGTCAGGATTCATCGGTGAAAACTGGCATCGTGACACGACTTGTCCCCTCTTCAAAGTGACGTTGCAGTCCACAGCACCGACGACGGGGATGTCTGTCTTGCCTCCTCTCATTTGGCAAAGAATGTCAATTTCCCCACCCGTTGAGAAGACGTGGGGTCCCTCAAATGTCTTATTCCCAGTCGTAACTGTGACCCACTGGATGCAGTTCTTTGGGACTGTCACGGTTTCTGATGCACGAAGCACTACTCTGTTGTCCTCCAGCTCCACGTGAAAATCCCGTAGAAATGGATAGCACCGCTCATCCACCAGTGCAGTTTGTCCATGCTTCCTGATCAATACCTGGTGAGGGTGGTCAATGATGTTAGCCCCTATAATTACGTCGGGTCCAGTGAAAACGTTGTTTCCGACAACGCGCATTGTGGTCTCATCCACCTCGTGCTCATCGCAGCGAATCTTGACACGCACCTCGCCCAGTGACATGCACTCACCGCCCACTCCTCTTAGTACTCCTGTGTTGCCTTGAATCTCCTTACCGAGAAGCTTGGCACACTGCGCCTTCATGAGACTCACTCTTGCTCCCATGTCCAGAAGGGCGATCATTGGTTCTCCCTCGATTTCAATCTGCTTGAAGCTTTCTCACGAACAGGTCTTGTTTTCACAACGCACTGTGATCACTTGCGGTGCATCCGACTCACGTTTGGGGCAGTTTCTCGTACCATGGCCCTCTCCTCCGCACCTCGTGTACACTCGTGGTCGAGGGGGTTTGTCACAATTCTTCGCGTAGTGTCCCAGCTTTTGGCAATTGTAGCACTTGACGCCGCGTGCTGTCGCTTTGTTCTGTTGCGGCACGGACGGTAGCTCCACTGATGGCTTGGGTATCGAGGTTCCAGTTGACACGAACTTCGCATCTCGGTTCTTCTCGAAGTGCTCGAAGCTTTTTATGTCACGCAGGAGGTCGTTCACAGAGTGGTGTGTTTGATTCCGCATAGCGTAACTCAGCTCTCTCGAAAGTAGTCATGTGATGATCTCTTCCTTCGTTTCGTCCACGTTAAGCCCGAGGAGCACGCAGAGTTTTTCTTTCTCGCGAACGTATGCTTCATGACACTCGCCTTTCCTCTGAACTTGTTGCTCCATGATCCGCCACTGTTCCGTCTTGGTAGGTGGGCGCACGAACGCGTCCCGAAACGCGGCCTCCCAGGCAGACCAGGCTTTCCACGCCATAGCCGTTGACTGCTGCCAATCGCGCGCGGGTCCCGACAACTTGAGCTTCGCCACAATGATTTTCTCGTCGTCGTTCCATCTTGCCAACTCGGCGACCTGGATGAATTCCTTGACCCACTCGTTGGCCACGATATCACCCTCGAGTCCCGTGAACTTGGGAACCGCTGCCGACGCATCCGGAGACACCCGCATGGCGACGTCCGAAGATGCTGGTCGACTCATCTGTGACAGCGTCAGGCGTTCGAAGAGTTCTTGATTCTGGCGCAACACTTAAGCCATCATCTCCATCACAGCCGGAGCATTGTCCTGAACTGACGGGTCGGGCTTGACGTCCTTCCTCGACATCGTAGGTCACTCGTGGACTCACTGCGTCACACGTGGTTTGCGGTTAGGCTTCGAAGCGTTGTTGCTGTTGACGACCCACCGGAACTCGTCACCGATCAATGTAAGTGGTAGTTGCATCCCACTTCTGATTGTAATAGAAAAACTGTATGGTTGATTTGAGAACAATTAAAACGTACATTGGGTACAAACTCGAAAACTTGGGTGCGAGCCGGATGCCTATCCTACCGCCTCGATGGTCTCGATCGTCTCGATAAACACAATATGGCGGATACTCAAAAAAAAAAGGCGCGATGTTCATCACGCTAATGCTGGCGCTAACATATGGGACAAAAGGGTGTAAGGTGATACCCTTTTTTTAGAGTGTGTGACCCGATACGGACGAGATGTTAACTCCCTGGAGAACTTTTATGAAAGATTTATCGCCAACATTCAAAAACTTCGCAATGTCAAAGAGGAAATTCTTACACAGTAAGATCGCGCGTCAAGAGTCAACCACGACCATAGCACTCGCAGGTGCCGACAGCGGCAAAGACCAACCCTCACAGGCCTTCGAAGTGAAGCTCCCTAAACTACTATTTCTACATTACCGAGGGGAGCTCACGCAGCGACAAACCATCTGGGAACAATTCCACGCCGCAGCACATCGCAACACCGGACTCGCCGAAGGCCAGACATTTTATTACCTTCGGTCTCTATAGATTGGATCCCCCGCCAGTGCGATCTTCAAACTACACGCAACAGCAGCGTGCTACAGGGTTGTTATCGCAATTATATTCAAGCACTTTCGAGACAAGCGGAGAATCCAACGTGAAAACCTCAAAAGACTGCACAACCTTGCAACGGCGAAGTCGATCATGTCCAAACCATCATCTGAGACTTACGTTCCCTGGGAGTTTCGCCACCATGAGGGTGGAAACCATTTTGACCAGTCTCCCGATTGTCATCACTGTGAAATACCATCCACTAAAGAACTATGAGACAAAAGATCCGTCACAAAGGAGGTACCTGCTGGAAAAGCGGCCAACGGAACGCTCATGAACATCGCTCCTGGATCGCCAGCGAGTGAAAGTGAGGAGCTGGAAAAACTATTGCGTTTTTTGCGCGTAGAAATTGAGAGCCGGAAACGGTCGGCGCCGCCCGAGCAAATACCAACAAACATAACAAAATTGGAAAGGAAACCAAGGCACGACGTTTATGAATCGACAACACTGGCGCTGCAAACCAACATGGCAAATATGTGCTTCTTTTTTAACTCAAGAAATCACTGCACCGGCGCGTGCGCTTCTGGTATCGCACTATATGAGAAAAAATGGAAGGCTTGCGCAAGACATGAAATGATTTTTCCGCACCAAATGAGGACATAGATCAAATGACTGCCGCAGCAAAGCAAGATGTGCGGGGCGCAGTGGGCGACATGCTCTATTTATGTGCAATCGATTTTGCCTGACATCATAACCAGTTAAGAAAATTCAGAAAGGAACCGCCCACGATCTTCCGACAGGCGGCGCAATGGAGAACTAAGCTCCTAAAATTATACTACGAACGCTTAGTAGCTGGGTTGTAAGTTACAACCCAGCTACGAAACGTTCGCACTCTCCTTATCAGTTACAACTTGTAACTGATAAAGAGAGTGCATATGTCCGCTACATTAGCCTGTTTCATTTTGTAAGCTTTTTAGAGCGCAGCTCTTAGTCGCCGTTTTCGGGTTGAGCGGCGTCGCCGTAGCCGTTGGCGTCTGCGTAACCACGTGGCGTCACGAGTGACGTCACAAGGGTCACGAGGTTCACGGGTGACGTCACCCTCATGACGTCACATGGGCACACTCTCCCCTTCCCTCCTATTCCTTAAGAGCCGCGGTCAAATTCGGCATGACAGAGAATTGTAAACGCCTTTTATTTTTATTATTTTATCTTGTCAGCTATTTCAGTTAGCAGATGATTCGGTTTTGATAACTCGTCTTGAGAATTATCAGGTTGCTGTTCAAGAACAAAATAATCTCACTCTTCTGATGGATTGGTTTAATTTTAACTTCAAAAATGTAAGCGCCTATAAAACAACTCATTTGCTTTAAAAGTAATTTCAAACATGTTGAACTTTCACATACAATAGTGGTGCACACCTCCAACCGCAGAAAGTGCGAATGTAGTTTCATTGAGAATGTATATTTGATCTAAGTATACATTTCAACAGTGATTTGTTTTGGTGCAAGCATCCGCATGACATACTTATGTAAATCATTATGATCCTTCTATGCTGTCTGTACAGTATAAAAATGTTTATGCCGTTTCTTGTTGGAAAAGTGTTGGTACAAACCCTTGCGTATAGTAACTTACGTCACTTTCGGGCTGTTCTTTGTTTTGGCGTTACCGAGTTATATTCTTTCTTAACAAATAGTTTGAAAAGCATTGCGTTTGATAGACCTCATATTTCAAGTACATGCATATTTAGCGCACCTCATCTGCCATCTCCTTTTGGGCTTTAGAAAGACGGTCAAAATTAAACATTTCTGGAATTCTGACCGCCGCATACTGTACAGCGGCAACTCAGAGCTTCTATTCGATATGATGTCCCACGAACTAGAACAAAATATGGCGAACGCATGCGCATGTATTATGTACATCTTTCCAATAACCTCCCAGACAACTTTTTTTTATAACTTATAGTCAAACTTAGTAAATCGATAAAGTATTTAAAGCAGATGTTTTTATGTATTTATTTTTATCGTTCTCAATAATTGCCTTCGATTTAATATACTGCGTGTTTTTGATAGTTTTGCTTAGTCTTTTTGTGATCTATCTAGGATTTTGCTCTATAGATGTGTTACTTTTAATGCAAACGCTTTACGTATGTATCTATAATCTTGAATTTACGGAATTTTCACCACCTGTCGAGCAAGGCACACAAGCTTTTGAGGCTTCCGGCTGCACGATATTGTGCTGTACAAGATGTGTGTTGAAAATAAAACTATCCTACTCTATTATATTTCATTGTCGACGGCAGAAGTCAGATTACCTTTATCGAGTTTACTTGGCCAAGTAAGTGAAGATGAAAGTTTTCGGACAACGAAGCAGGCAGCTTAACACGTTTGCCAACCGAGGTCTAGAAGTATTTAGATGGGAACTCGCAGTAGTGAGACTGCGTCTGCGAGGGCAGTTAAGACAGATCACGTCTTCGAGGCCATTTTCGTCCCGTTCATCTGCATGACATCACCGAAACACCCATTAGGTTATGCTTTCTTCAAACGAGGAGGTGGGCATAAGGCTGGTCATTGGAGTAGATCAGATATGGAGCTTGCTCACCGGATAAACACGACGCTCATCTTCCAACACCGATCTTGTAGCCATATCAACTTCTCCAGGATGAATTTTTTAGGGGCCTACAAGCACAATACACGACGTGGCAAGCCGAAAGAGCCGTGAATCGAGCCGTTGCGAGCTGTCCATCAATGCGACCAGCCGCCCACTGACAGTGAACGTGCCGGATTGCGTGTGCTTAGTGGGCTAGGCTTTGCACCCCACGTGCCCTAACGTAGCAAACGACGAACAAGCTAAGTGGATGGCGAGAAGCCTTCGGCGGAAGGCAATATATTATTGACCAAAACCAACACGGCACCCCTTCAGCAGAAGATGATGAGGCAAACAGAGCTCAGTCACGATAGCACGGCAGACCCCACCTTGACGCGGCTACGGAAGAAGCTGGAGATCGTGTTTCTTGAACAACGCGGAGCCTTAACTACGGATGATGTCAGATACTCGGAACTGAAGGCTGGATACTATCGGTATCGTTAAGAATGCCCAAGGCACCTGTGTCGACCAAGGCACCGCAAGAAGAAACACAGGAAGGCCACTGGTAAAGACAGTGCTAGGGAGAACCGGAACGACCTTAAAGGGGCCGTGAGGCTGCAGTTCTCCTTGGAAACCTTTGTAATATCACAGCTCTTGTTTTTCACCTTGTGGGTGAAAAGGATGTTAAATATTTAATTACAAAAGCCGGCTGTAGAAAATGGTGGTTTCTGCTCGAAAAGAAAAGGAGGT